ATATAAATACACAGAAGTAAATGAAATAACCTCTTCTATTAAGAGATAGATGATTCAAAAAGCGGAGTTTATCCAAAAACGAATTTCACTGATCTTTTATCAGGAACAGTTTTTTACTTTACGTAGTAATCAGAACTATCGTTTTAGTAATGGTAAAACAAACTATTTATAACAATCTTCTGTTTACAAATGCACTTTTAACTAAGTGCATTTTATTAAAATATTATTTTAAGTGCTATATTTGTTTTGAGAAGAATTCATATAAGTGAAGCACATTTTAAAATAGACTAGACTAGAAAAACAAAAAGGAAAAAATATGCAAAAATGATAATATAAAACAAAACTAAAATATATACAAATATACATACACACACATACATACATTCATACATACATACATACATACATACATACATACATACATACATACATACATACATACATACATACATACATACATACATACATACATACATACATACATACATACATACATACATACATACATACATACATACATACATACATACATACATACATACATGCATCCATACATACATACATACATACATACATACATACATACATACATACATACATACATACATACATACATACATACATACATACATACATACATACATACATACATACATACATACATACATACATACATACATACATACATACATACATACATACATACATACATACATACACATATATATTGATATTATTAAAATATAGGAATAAATTTACAATAACTAACACATATATATTGATATTATTAAAATATAAATATAAACTTTAAACGATTTTAATATTTAATATTAGTATACAGATGTAGATTAAATGATTTTAATTATATATAATTCCTCAAATTAATTATATATAATTCCTCAAATTATTAATAAAACCGAATCAATATTTTTTTCGATAAAGTTATTTTTTAAGACAAGAATTTAAATATACTGCGTTCAATTTGCTTATTTAATTGGCATATTTTTTAAGTATTTGTGTACTTGAATTTAATTTAGAACACCTTTAGAACTATTTTAATACGACTAAATTTTATTGAATTAATTTCTACTCGTATTAAAATAGTTTTATCAAGTGTTCTAAAAAACTTTTTGATAAGGGTGCTTACCAGAACACCGAGATTTACACACTGGTGGTTAAGGTAAATAAAGTGTTTTTATGTGCAACATTTTAATCAAAATATATAATTTTATTGTTTTGTCAATATCAGCATATTTAAAAAGATGCTAGTATGATGACAAAACAATAAATCCATTGTTTATCAGTTATTCAGCAATCGATTACTATAGTAACCGATTGTTTTGTGCAGTGTATACACTGCACAAAAATATAGGCGTAGTATAAGAAAATAAATTTTCTTATTCGGCCACAATTGAAACAATTGATAATTTCACTTTTCATTTTGTTTATATAACAAAATAGTTTCAAAACACACTTCAATCACTCTTCCGGAAAATATAATTTTTTTCAAAAACGAAACTTAAAAATCTCGTTTTTAATTAGGATTGCTAACTGGAAGATTTCAAACAATACCTGGAAAAAAAAGTTCTTTCGAAAGAATATTGACAATCAGGTCTCAGAATTTCTTTTCGTACAAAAAAAAATAGTTTTTAAAATTGCAGATGTGCCCAAGTATTACTTTCGAAACTTTCGCAAGATAAATTTAAAAAAAGCACGAAAATAGCACTTTTGGAAGTAGCACTTGAAAAATGAGCGCTTTTACTAAACTGCATATTGCAGTTTATAAAAGAAGTTTATTTGTTAAATGGCTAGAATTGTAAAAATGAAACAAATTTATTGCCAATATGTTTGTTGCGTATACAAGTTTTTATAAATAAATATAGGTAAGTTTTCATAGAAAAATACTTAAAAAAAATGCTAAAACATTATTCAATGAACAAGAGCTAAGTAATGAAAATAACATGAACAACAACATTTACATTTTTTTGGGAAAAAAGAAATTTTAAAAAATCTAAATCATATGAATAACGTAGAAACGCAAAGTATAATTAATAAAGTTGTAATATGTAAACATTTTGAAACAAAGTATACTGAGGAAAATAGTACAATTAGCGTAAATTAATACGCAATAATTAGTGGCTCTCTTCTAATTAATACTTTACGCTATTTTTTGTGTTATTAAAATAATTCCTTTACATATGAAAGAATCTGTGCCTCGAAATTTCGATGTTGAAATATAAAAATTCATTTTTTCTTAAAGAAAAATATATTAGAAATCCGTTCCATTTTTGTCTGGAAAAAAAATGCATAGAAACATTTATTTTTGACTTCATTTAAAGACAGCATTTTCGTTTAATATGAGCATGCTTAAATTACCCAGTGCTTTTTATTGAAATTACTTAGTTTAAAGTCCTAAAATTGCAGTGGTTTTATTTGCTTTTCAAATAAGAGCAAAATGTAGTAAAAAATTTTGAAATTTTCAATATACTAAATATCTTTCTATAATTGAAATTCAATAAAATTTTTTTTTTTTTTTTTGTATAACACAAAGTTGTTTTGTTTCAATTAATGGTAAATTGATTTTAAAATGATATTTCAATGATAAATTTTTGTTCATATGAAATATGAGTAGTGAGCCCAATAGGGCATGCAAAATTTTTGAATCCAGCATAATTATTATTGAAAAACATCCCAAATCTCGCTTAAGGTACTCATAATACTCTAATCTACTCTAACAGGTGATGCCTAAGTTATCGGACAAAATAAAAACGTCAATAATTTATTTATAAATGAAAAAAAAAATATTATTATATTTTTTTAAATAAAGTATTTAGCTTTTAACAAAAATAGGTTATTCTTTAAAGGAAAAAAAAAAACACTTTCTGCAATTGATCTCAATTTTGCTCTGATTTCAATTTTGCCTTTCATAAGCGACTGCAAAAAATTTAAATCGATTTCTTATATTTTTAATTTAATTCGATACATCAAAACTTGCTCTGTTGTCCCCTGCAAAACTATTTTTCGTCATCGATGACATGATTTTGTGTTATAGAGTTGGTTAACTAGTTAATTAGACGACCAGGTTGCTTTCTATCAGAAAAGGATTGAACAATTTCAAGTCTTTTTAGGTTATCATATTTTGTATTTCGAGTAAATCCTTTCTATTCAAAATGATTTGCGATTTTTTTTTTCTTTTAATATTAGGTTTATTTACAAAAGAAATTTTGAGTCGGAAAAAATTCTCGTTCAGCTCATTTTAAATAATAATAATTATTTTTTTTTGGTGTAATTTATTTCGCCGTTAAAGAATGTTTGCATTGCATGTACATATATCAAAATTAATGACAGGAGCAAGAAGAAGGCACAGTTTGCCTTATCGCCGAGCCCCACATATAAAAAAAAACTCTTCATAACCGTAACATACAAATATATAAAATATAGATCAGAATTAAAACAGAAAATAACTGAGAAAATTAAGAAGTTCAAAATAGCAAATAATTAAGAATTGTTGAAATGCTAACAACCGCTAAAATATTTAAAAATTATTTAAACAAAAAGTTTTAAATAAAAAAATAAAATTTCATAATTAACATTATCACAAGAAGAATTTTTAACATCATTACTTAAATTCAGTGCCGGATCAAGGAGGGGGCTAGGGGGACTATTACCCCGGGCCTCGCAAATTTAGGGGCCCCTTAAAATTTTAGGGGACCTTTTTTTTTTTTTTAATTTTTTAATTTTTTTTTTTTTAAGTCATTTTTAGGCTCTGGCCTATAAAAATGCCTCCAAAAACAAAAATAGCCCCGGGCCCCAAGAAGTCTTAATCCGCCACTGCTTAAATTTCATTGATATAAATAAATTTGTTTTTATTTTATTAAACTTTAAAATAAATGTTTCAAATAATAAAGTTTACATTTTATAGAACGTTTTGTTTTTATTTTATTTATTTGTTTTTATTTTATTAAACTTTAATATAAATGTTTCAAATAATAAAGTTTATATTTTATAGAACGTTTATGCCTACGCATAAAACCACAAAAACAAATTATTATGCTCAATTAATGAAATTCAGATTTGTCCGATAACTTCGAAAATGTTTTTAAATTGTGGCACAGTCCTTGTCACGTCAAAATGGCACATTTGTGGCGAAAAAAGAAAACTTTGAAATGTAGTTCGTAAACTTTTAAAGCTGTAATCGAATTTTAATACTCGCTGGATAAGTTTTAATCAAAAATCAAAGAAAAAAAAAAAAGAATTGTTTTTTAAATATCTTTAAATAATTAATAAAGTAATAAATAGTTTTAAGTAAATAACAAAATAATAGGTATAGTAGCTATAAATATCTCTGTTACCCGTTGAAACATTATTTTTTTGCTTCCCCGTCTTTTTAATAACATGGCAAAAAATTCGGAATACAACTTAAAATACGGTATATAAAAATGTAAGTTTTGCCGTTTAACAAACCTATTTTTACGTTGTGGACCGAAAAAAAAATTTCCTAACAAAATAAAAATAATAAGAGCGACAAAAAGCAGCATTAAATTTATATACGAGTTTGTATATATATAAGTTTAAATCTTAGGTAAAGTCCGTAATCAAATGTTTTATGTATTTCGTGAGCTGTTGATTTTTAATGAATTTTTTAGTTAGTTTTTCGTACGAGTTTTCTATAACCATATTTTTATTTTTGTATTTGATTCTCACAATATAAATAATAATAATATACAATGTTGTTGAGATTAAATTCTATGTTTAATCTTTTAAAACGAAAAAGATATATATACTAGTTTGGCTATTAAGTTGAGTTTTTTAACTTCTATTGTTTCAATTGGTAATTAAGTTGAGGTTTTTAACTTCATTTGTTTCAATTGGTAATTCGTTCCAGAATTTGACTGTGCGATTTGTAAAAAAATCGATTTCGATTTTAATACTTTTTATTAGTTACTAAATGATGTTTGTCACCTCGAATATATGAACAAGGACCTGTAAAATTTACAGATGGGCTATGTATCATATTTGACTCAAATATTATTAAATATCTATTTTTTAGGTAAATTAATAAAATTTTATTGATTAAAGATACATTTTTATTTATGTTTATTCAAAAAAGTTCGTTTAATCTTTTAACTCTCTGTTTTTAACACTAGTGATTGAACACTAGTAACACATTTGTGATTGAGGTATGATCGGGTGTTATTGGATAACATGTTAGGAGGGTGGCTCCGGATATCTTAATCCATTTACATTTTAAACATGAGCAGCTTTTTTTTATAAATAATAATACATTTAATATAACACTCAAACCCATAATAGTAATTCATTTAATTCCAATAAAAAAAACATAAGATTTAAAAGAAGTGTTTTTAAAGTGTTTATTTTCATTAGTATAAAGCTAATGTTTATATTTCTAAACGACGAGTTTTTATTATTTTATTTTCATTATTATTTCCATTCCTTATATATCAGAGAAAATTTTTTAAGAAAATTTCTTTTAAATGTGTTGAAAACATTCCAATGCTAATTAATTACATATTACATATGTGTCACTCGAGTAAAAAAACGAGGTAAAATAATGATTAAACTATGTGTCCGGGGGGGGGGGATGACCCTTTTTTTTTTAAACGAGCCTTTTTTCTAGCATTTCTTCTTTGATGTTTTGTATGTTATTAGGGTACAGATAATAATTTTTTTGTTTCTGATTCAATAGATAAATTTATATTTTTAAAAAAATCTTCCGACACTTTGTTTTCTTTTAGTACATGTACATGCAATCTATTTTTTCCTTAAGTGTCCGGGGCTACCTGACTTTCCCCTAATGTTCGTAGTAAAAGAAAAATGTTGAATTTTTATTGATGAAACATCGTGCAAATAAAAATTTTCATAATTAATTTTTTACTAATTTATTATTGCTCTTAACTTTTAAGAACTACGAACACTCCACATTTTAGAATACATTTTAGAATACACTTTAGAATACACTCCACAATTTAGAAGAATACTAAAGTAACGAAAATTAAAATCAAAAAGCGCAGATAAAAAAAAAAGTTTAGCTTAAAAAATATTGCAACCAAAATAGAATTTTCCAATCAAAATTCTTCATTATCGTTATTATTGTTTTCATTTTATTTTGTTGTTTAAAGAAAATTTTATCAAGAGTAAAAAATAAATTAGAAACCAGAAATCACTAGATTAAGTCTTAAGTTTTAGAAAGTCGAAAGAGGCGTATAACGGATTTTTACAACCGCAGAGAAAAGGTGTCACACCTTTTCTCAGCGGTTATAATTTTCGAAGGAGAATATATATTTTTAAAAGTTTTTTTTTTTTTTTTTTTTATTAAGAATAGTTTTTTATTATTATTAATTGAACAATTTTTTTTTCAAACGTTTAGGATTTTAGAAATATATTTTTCATTATTTAATATTTCTTTATATTAAAAAATGAACGAGGCACAGATTCGTTAAAGCTAAAGTGATACTTAGGTGAATGATTAATGTATTGTGTGAACGACTGCCGTTGCAAATTATAGTTAACAAAACTTATAATAAATCTAAATAAGTAAACAAGACTTATTTTAAGTCTTGTTAACTATATTTTGCAACGGCAGTCGTAATTTTTTTCGGCAGTCGTATATTTTTGCAACAGTCGTAATATTTGAGTAGTACGACTGTTATAATACCTCAGTAGAATAAATCAGGGAAAATACCTCAAACAAAATTACATTAGTATGCAAACTATTTTTTTAGTAAAATATCTCGAATTAGTTAAGCATTCTGGTCTGCATTATGGTACAGACGTTTTGCTTGCGCGGGCACTCTTAATTAAAACCTAAAGTAAAAAATAGTTATAAAAAAGTTCCATTAAGAAAAATCTACAACAACCACAACAAAAATTACTCTCGTAGGTTTTAAAAATAACTTTTTTTAAAAAAATCTGTTCAAACCTGTTTACCTAATAACGTGTTAAAAATAAATAAAGCATTAGAAATAAGTTAATATAAGGAATGTTATCAACTTAATCCAAATTAGCTTCTACTTATCGATTTCTTTGCAGTCTTATACTTTAAGGTAGCAAAAAAATAACTTTTATTTTAAATATATTTTATGTTATTATAACCATACAACCTTTTAAAAAGTACTTGTAGACAACTTAAAAATATTTATCAAATAAACAATACATATTTCTCCCATAAAATAATGTGGTTTTTATAAATAAAATTTTCTTCAAATATTTGCATTTAAAAGTAACTGGCAATTTAATAAAAATGTTGTGATATTTTAACTGCGTAAGCGTTTTGGAAAAATGTAGTTACAATTCTAACTCTTTCTGGTATATTTTTAATAATATGACTTTTAAATAACAAAAATAAGAAATTTTAAAAAATTTGTTTTTTTTATTTTCTTATTTGCCGTTTTATATATTTACAATAAACACATATTACATAGATAAATGGCCGGAGAAAAAAGACAAAAAATGTTAAAAATAAATATTAACTTACTTAAGCTGTCATATAAGTATTTGAGTTAACACATTGAGCAATTTTCGAAGTTGGCAATTTGCAAATATTAAAGACCTTTTTTTTATTATTATTTGGTGTTTCTAGTTGGCAAAAAATTACATATACTCCCCCCCCCCGCCTGTTGAAGAGCTCTTTGGAACGACCCTGCTTGTCAAATACTAAAATGTCTTTCATACTGATTTAAAGTAAAAAAATATATATTATACTCATACAAATATACTCATACATTTGATAAATTTTCAAATATATATATATATTTAGTGATAATGAAAACTTTTGTTATTTTTTTAATTGAAAATCATCTCTGTAGATTTTGATACAATAGACTTGTTATTAAAAAAATATCAATAAATATTTATTTTTTTTAAAATATCAATAATTACTTTTTTTATATAACAAGTCTATTGTATCAAAATCTACAGAGTATTATCACCAGTATTTTGGTTTTGCTGTAGCCAATTCTGGGCTTCTAATATTGATTGCATAACGTGTAAATTTGACCGGTTAGAAAAAAACCCTTTGTATATTTTAAAGACAAAGAAAATTTGTTGAAAAAGTAGTAGAATATTTATAATACGTATTTCCAAGGGAAACATTAACAGTTTAATTATTATTAGTAGGGTAATGCGGGGCAAAATGAGACAGCGGGGCAATACGAGACAGTTTACGATTAATATGATGCCAGCTCTACAAATTATTACTTGCAAGATTTTTAAAAGTGCAGTTGTGTTCAAAAACTATTTTGTGTCAAGAAAAATATATTGAATCACTTTGAAATAAAAAAGTTAAGTAAAAGGGGAATCATTTCATCCCTCGGCTTCGCGAAAATTACGAATTTTTAAGTGTTGTTATTATATTTTTTCCTAGCCTTTTTTGATCTCACTGAGTGGAAAAGTATTTTGTATTTAAAGTTTTTTTTTTATTAGAATCTTTAGGCCTTTTTCTTTCATTTCCATTTTTTTGTATTTTGTTTCTACAATAAAATAGTCTGGAAATTAGGTTATTCGATGCCAACATGATGCAGGGAAAACGAGACACTCTGTTTATTTTTTATTTTTTTGCCGATGTCTAATATTATGTTTATTTAATTTTTTACATTAAAACAACAAACAAAGCAAATATTAATATTTACATGCTGTAGATTTAAATTTATTATACTGTATTTACTTACTTTTTATTTTGTTAATTGAAATGTTTAGTTGTTATCCAATATAGAATTACGTTTTATATTTTGTTAACTTATATTTAAATATAATAAATATTTAATCAAATTGAAGCAAATAATTGCCTGATGTTTATAATTACAATGTTTGTATTTTATAATCTTGTTGTATTGTAATGTAATAGAGTAAGTAGTATATATGCGTGCTTTAAATACATAAGTTTAATATATGCATGTATGGATTTATTAGTTCTTGCAGTGGGTATATAAATATATAAATATATATATATATATATATATATATATATATATATATATATATATATATATATATATATATATATATATATATATATATTTTATATATATATAGTTTGATTATAGCTGTAATATGTTATAAAATGTATTTCTTGCTAATCCTCTTAAAGTTCTGTTTTGTTTAACTTTATTTGTTTAAATTACTAAAAAAAAAAATCTGTCTCATTTTGCCCCGGTATGCAGGGCAAAATGAGACATAGGTGCTGTCAATAAATGATCTCTGGTGACCAAACCACTGCAGTTTTGCAACTAATACTTTTCAAGCTTCAAGTAGAATGGTAGAAGAATTGAAAAATATCAAGTTATTTTTTCAAAAGTTGTTAGAAGGGCCGTATTAGATATATTAGCGCTTAAGTGTCTCATTTTGCCCCTCGTTACGCTATTACTTAAAACTTATTAATTTTTTTAATCAGAAATTAATACGTTTTAAGTATAACAATAGTATATTGCAGTAATGCAAGTACATTAGTTGTAGTTTGCACATTTAACATCGAGTGCAATATCTGTCCGCTATCTTTATGCTATCTTTCTATATATACTATAATTTACTTCTTTCTTCTTAAACTCACTCTTGGTCCATCAAAGCGGGTTATAATGCTTTTTAGAAAGCTGAACTTGTCTTCACGAGCCTTGGTATTTGGCCTCTATATGGCAATTAGCCGTTTGAGGATAAACTACAATACCACAATAGTATATTATTTGGCTGGCGCAACAATGGATACATTGTATCTTAATTATATATTATATTAAATTGAACTCGTTTTGCAAATCCATTTCTAAGTAAATTTGCAGCCATGATTAGGAAAAAATCTTTTGCATTCTTTTATTTAGATCACATTTTGCCAGAGATGTAGTCAAGACAGGCCTAAAACTAAGACATTTAGGCTCAAGACCAAGACCAAGACTGAATGCTTCAAACCCAAGACCAAGACCACGACATTGAAACCAAAGACCAAGACCAAGAATTTGAAAGTTTTTACAAGACTGTGATCAAGACTCTAATTGAAAGCGGGAATCTATAGTTTGTAATTAATAACTAAAATTACTTATATTTTACTTATTAATATAATATTTTACTTATTAATAACAAATCTACGGTTTGTAATTAATAAGTAAAAGACAGTAGAGGAGACCAAGACCAATACTCTAGGCTTTCAAGATCAAGACTAAGACCAAGACTTTAGGCTTCAAGACCAATACCAAAGCCAAAACAATTAAATACAAGGCTCTGGGTGTCTAGAGACCTCCATCTCTGCATTTTGCTCTGCTACTTTTGTAGCAGTTCGAAATATGATCTTTCGGTATAATAATCTATTTTATTCTAATTATTCATGAGCTTAAAATCAAAATTCATCTATACCAGTTTAACTTAATTTCATGGATATTGATGATACATAATCCTTCGATGAAATTCAATGTTTTGATGAGGAAAATGGCTTTGAATTTGAAGAAACTCAACTTAAAACCCGCTTTATAACTCAAGCAGATCTAAACAGTTTGGTTAGCAATTTAAACGATTCAATTAGCCACTTAAACTCGTCAATATATTCGAAAGTTAAATTATTATTGAGGTATGTTTCTAAAATGCATTTTCATTTAAAATTAGAGTTGTAAAAAAGTTACTGTAAAGGCCAAGACCAAGACTAAGACAAAGACATTTGGGCCCAAGACCAAGTCCAGGACTTTTCACTTCAAAACCAATACCGAGACCAAGACATCAAAAAGTCAACCCAAGACCAAGACTTTTAATGTTTTCCCATTGCAAGATTAAATAGAAGTTTTTTCAATGATGCTCACACATTAGTGTGTATTTTTAGGCCATCAGCTGACGTTTTATTCAAGAGTACTCTAGTTACTCTATGTTTAACTTTACTTATTTTATGAACTTTAAATAATACAGACAACTATGGCAAAAGAATACAGACAACTATGTACCACTTGATTTCGCAATTTATATTTTGACAATTTAGCAAAAACTGTTATGCGTAAAGAATAAGAATGCATATCTTTCTAGATACAAATCTTTATGTTAGCGGAAAGTTGCGGTAATCAACAATTTATTGTTAATTACTAATTCATCCATTGTGTTGATATATTTTGTAAGGATCAAAAAAGTACAAGACAGTAAAGATCGAATACCAAGACCGAAACCAAAACTACAAGTTTCAAGACGAAGTCCGTGACCAAGACTTTAGTCTCGAGACCTACATCTCAGATTAAAGTTGTTGCCAACTTTAAACAAAAACCCATTTTATATATAACATATTAATGTTATATAAAGAATAATTATTCTTAATATATAATTATAATTCTCAGAAAAATACTGACTAATAAGCATAATCATTAATTTTCGTTGCAGATATATTTACATCATAATTTATGAAATTGCATTTAATATATTTTTTTGTGAAAACCACACTATACTTATCAGTAATAAAATACTAGATATCTTATATAGTAATAAAATACTAGATAAACTGATGTGAAATATCTGAAAAACACCTTTGCAGTCCAGGCGCCAAAGAGCTTGTTCGATTGCTTTAGAAATTCATTGTTATAATTTTTTTTTTAAATTTTAAGAAAACCTTTGGGGTAAACTGGGGTAAAGTGAACTAGGGGTAAAGTGAACTATTTTTTTATATTAAAAAATTATCACGTTTAAAAAACTTTTTATTTAGTAATCTAGCATTATTTTTGCTTTATACAACATTTTAAAATTTAAATAAAAAAATTAAACTTAAAGTATAGCTTTTGTTTCAATGTAAAAGCCATTTTAAAAAACGAGTTGTACGGAAGTTTTAAAATTACGTTATCAAACTTTGCGATAGGTTTTACTAAATTTAAGATTTGTTGTTGTTAATGCGAATATTAGTTATATTATTTATATACATTTTAAAGATAATATGGGTCAAAATATGAAAGGAGGATAATCCCTGTCTCAAGGCTATAACTATTTCCAAACTAGTTATTGAAACTATGACAAATGTTTTTCTGAATATTTAGTACATTTTCTACTAAAAAAATCATTATTTTTGATCATTAGATTCTGATTATTATATAAAAAGGCTGAAAGTGCTTAAACTTCATTTCTGTAACTGTCTCCCTACCGACTTTGTGTTGACCTACCAACTTTGTGTTGACCTACCGACTTTGTGTTGACCTACCAACTTTAATACTTTAGAACTTCAGAATCACAGCATAATAAGTTGATAAGATCTCGTGATGAAATTATGATAATATAGTAGTTAAACTTATTTTTTACATACAATTTAAAACGAGAAACTTAACTTTAACTGCTAAAATGAAATTAATGTGAATGTCTACTGGATCTGAAAATTTTACATTACAATTTTTATTTCAGTTCACAAGTATTTGCTAGATGTCGCTACAGCAACCGGAAGTTTGGATAGAGCTACCATGTTGAACATTGTTGTTGAAAAATATAAAGATACATTTTTATTTCATTATATTTTGAAATTTTTTACGATAAAACATCAAGAATTGAAGGCGTGTTTTTATGGTAAGTTATATCTGTAGCGCCAATTAAAGTATACAATTTTATATAAATGTTATTATGATAGTAATTTTCTAACCGTGATTTAAAAAGCCTTATGCTAATAGTGTTGACACGGCCTTCAACCCCTCAATTTCTAAAATAAAATCCATAATTTCTAAAATAATTGCCTATATTTCTAAAACAAAATATCCTCGCAAAAAAAAAGTGGGCAGGCCGAGGCTCTCTTGACGGCCAGAATGCATAGCGTGAGTATACTAACATTTCCTAAGGTATAAACTGCTTCCAGAATGCAAAAAAAGTCTAAAAAAATTGTTTAAGAAGGATTTCTAGGGATATCTTCATAGAAAATAAAAATATTTATTTATCTGAAAACAGAACAACTGTGAAAAAACCAAATATTTTTTATATTGACGAAGATAATTGACTTAAAAAAGTTTAGATAAGTTAACTAAGATATCTGACTAATACAAAGTTTGGAGGGCAAGTCGGAGAACAATTACTCTAACTGAATAACTATTTAGGTTGAAGGGTTGTTTTGAAATAAAACAACCCATGTGACAAGTATCATTAGTTGTAATTTCCTTACAAGTAAATAGTTTAAACAATTGTTTCCTGGTAAGGAAAGAACGAAAGGAAATTCAAGAATTGTTTCCTTGTAATTTAATATTACCTCAATTAAATCAAGTAAATAATTCCTTTACTTTAATAGTTTTTAATTAATAATATGTGTTACTATGTTAAGTGGATTGTTATCAAATATAAATTTAGGTCAAGTTTTGTAAAATGCAGAGTTTGATTTAGTGAGGTCAAATTTAGTGAATTGCCACGATGCCAAATCAAGCAAAGAATCATGATGAAAATCGAAAGTTTATGTGCTTGCTCTGTCTAAAAAAATGTATAAGACAGCTTACTACTTTTCAAGCAGATCGAATATGCCAACTGTGCAAGACCAAGATCAATATCAGTGATACTTGGATACCAAAAGGATTCTGCGAATCGTGTAGAATTACTTTGCGCAGGAAACAAGAAGGGGAAGAAGTTGCACTCCCTCCTTTGTTTGATTTTAAGTCAATACAAGTGAGACGTGAAACAAGAGGCACGATGTGTTGTTGCCTAATATGCCAAATTGGTGGTTCAAAGCTGCAAGAAAAACATCCTTTTATAGAGCAAACCACTAGTGAGAAAAAACCAAAGGTGCGATGCAGCAAATGCCTCAGCCCTTTAGGAAAAGGTTTGCCCCACCAATGCTCTCAAATAATGTTAAGGGAAAACATTCAATCTTTATCAGTAAAAGATGCCAAAATTATCCGAACAAATCACATTTTGAGTTATTTCCAATAAAGAATTATCTCTGTAAGGAACTATTCTACTGGCTAAAGCATCGGGCGGGTCTACACTTACAGTTACCCCTGGTAAATATTTATACTTAAATAATTTTAACATATATGTTAAAATATTTTTAAGAAATAAAATGAGAAATAACACTAAAAAGATTTCAAAAAGTATATTTTTAACAAGTTGCTTTAAAAACGAATAATTTGAAAGTTTTACACAAACTTACTAAATAAAGTTTATTGTAACTATAAAATGTGTATGTTTTGGTTTTAGGTCAAAGTAGTGCACAGGTACCATCAAGTGTTCCAAAATCACTGTAACCCTTGTAAATGAGCAATTAAATACGGGCCTGTCAAACAACGGATTAAAGAAACTTGTTAAAAACTGTAAACAAAACATCAAGCAGCAAGATTTCTTAAGCAAAGTTAACATTACAAAGAAACACTGGTGATTATAATTTAAACTTGTTAAATCATGCTTCAAATGTAAATGTTCAATGTTTTTTAGATACACTTCTTCAGCACGATATAATTCCCACAATAAATAAGTCAACGAGAATAACTAAGACCACGTCGACATTATTAGATAATATATTCACTAATAATTTTCATGATTGCTTCTTAGAATTGGGTATAATCAAAATTGACATAACTGATCATTACCCAATATTCTTAGTTACAGATAATATAACCCTTAGCCATTCCGTCTCTAAATCTACAATCTTAATACGACAAATCAATGAAAACTCTTTATTATACTTTCGAAATCTTTTATCTGAAAAAACTGATTGGAACCTTATATTACAATCACAAGACGCGAATAATGCGTATGAACTATTTTTGGCGCAGTTTTGTAAACACTATGATTTAGCATTTCCAGTACAAAAAAAAGTTGTAAATCCTAATTCACTTCTAAGCCCTTGGATGACCAAAGGTTTATACAAATCATCAAAGAGAAAACAAAGACTTTATGAAAAATATTTAAAACATAAAACATATAAAAATGAAATAAAATACAAAAATTATAAAAACACGTTTGAAAAAACAAAGAAACATGCAAAAAAATACTATTATGCAAGGTTGTTGGAAAAAACACGCGGAAACACACAAAAGACGTGGAACGTGATTAAGCAGATAATCAGTAAAAATAAATATCCAAAAAATAATTTGCCACAAAAACTATTAATTAACGGGAAAATGATTTATAATAAAGAAGTCATAGTTAAAAAGCTCAATAAATTTTTTCTTGATATTGTCCCAACTTTAGCTGATAAAATTCCAAAAAACACCTCAAACTTTGAATCTTATATGAAATCAATCAATACATCTATAAAAGAAGTAAAATTAAACATAAATGAGCTGCGAAATGCATTCAGCTGTCTAAAAAGTAATAAATGCGCTGTCATAGATAATATTAACGTGAATGTTGTTAAAGCAGTGTTTGATATTATTGAACCGTCACTGTTTTACATTTTTAACCTTTCATTAGAATCCGGTATTGTACCGGAGAAATTAAAAATTGCTAAGATCATACCTATTTTTAAATCTGGCGATAAAACGATTATGTCTAATTATAGACCTATTTCTGTCTTACCATGTTTCTCTAAATTGTTAGAACGAGTTATGTATGATAGACTTAACAACTATTTAACTGAGAACAATATTCTGTATAATAAACAATTTGGGTTTAAAAAAAAATCATTCAACGGACCATGCAGTAGTCGATCTAATAAATTATGTATCCAATGGGTTCAATAATGATTGCTATACATTAGGAGTTTTTATTGATTTGTCAAAAGCATTTGATACTGTAAACCACGATATTCTTTTAAAAAAACTAGAACTGTATGGTATACTTAATAATAACTTACTATGGTTTAAAAGTTACCTGTCAAACAGAAAACAATGCATAATATATACAGCAAATGAAACTGAAAATCATATTATAACTTGTGGTGTTCCCCAGGGATCAATCTAGGGCCGCTCTTATTCCTACTCTATATTAATGATTTATACTTAGCATCCAAAGTTTTAAATGTTATTTTGTTTGCTGATGATTCGAATTTTTTTTACTCACACAATAATATAAAAGAACTGTTTAGAATATCGAAGAATTACGAAGAATTATTAAAAATAAATGACTGGATTACAAATAATAAACTTTCATTAAATGGTGAGAAAACTAAATTTATCTTATTCCACAAACCTCGTAGGGGAGATAACCTTTCTCTAAAATTACCCAATCTCTTTATGAATAAAACAATTATTAAAAGAGAGTCAACTGTTAACTTTCTAGGAGTGATTATAGATGAAAATTTATCATGGAAATATCATATTAAATCTATTGAAAACAAAATCTCCAAAAGTATTTCAATGTTATATAAAATTAAACCATTTCTTAATATTGAGTCTTTAAAAATTATATATTTTTCATTTACTCATAGTTATCTTTCTTATTGCAATATTGCATGGGGAAGTACTAATTATGGGAAACTTAAAAAAATCTATAGCAAACAAAAACATGCATGTAGGATTATATTTGGCGTTAACAGAACTGTTAATGGTGAATCTCTTCTAAGCAAACTTAATGCACTTAATGTTTATAAAATTAATATATACCAAGTTATGCTTCTAATGTTTAAATCAAAACATGGTTTGTCTCCTAATATATTTCACTCTTACTTCACTGAAATTATTCATAAATACCCCACAAAATTTTCAGAAATTTCAACTAAAAAAAAATGTTTATTTATATATCTTATTATACCTATTTGTTGTATTTTGTAATTTTTAACTTGTTACATAAACTGAAGGCAACAATGTAAACGGGGCTTGGCGATAAGACAATATACGTCTTTTTCTTGCTCCGGCCATATATTATATATGTACGATCTTTCTTATTGTAAATTTTATCAAACGGCAAAGAAAAAAAAAAAAAAAAAAAAAAAGCAGCAAGATGGTAAAACGAAATTTCTACTTGAATTTGCTAAGACTAGGTCAACAACTGAGTGATTTCTTCACCTGCAGCGGTTTAAAAATCACAGACGAAAAAACAGATTCTTGTACAGTTCATGTTGTTGCTCACTGCAATGAAGTATCAAGTCTTGTGAATCATGTTATTCAGTCCCGCAAAATTTCTGGTGGCTGTTTTGTTAAGCTCGGAATTGATGGTGGAAAAAGTTTTCTCAAGTTTTGTCTAAGCATTGTTGATACTGCGTTAAGGGATGAAACCAGCTCACCGCACCAACAACAATCTCTCACTCAAAGGACTGGCAAAGACACTGGAGTTAAGAAACAATTTTTTGTTAGGGTGTCAGAAGATATGCCAGAAACACACTCCAATATTGAACAAATCTGGTCACTGATTAATGCAAATGGAGTTAAGCTACTTTTGGCTTGTGATATGAAAGTTGCAAATATAATATGTGGTCTTCAAACTCATTCAAGTACGCACCCTTGCACCTGGTGTGACGTCTAATCCAATTGTCTTGCCACATCTAGAAACTTGCAAACACTGAGCTCAATTAATTTAAGCCTTGAGTCTTTTCAGCAATCTGGCGAGGTTGTTACTAATGCAAAGCTGTTTGGCAATGTCATTCGAAAGCCAATTTGTCAATGTTTTGATTTTGGAAATCATTCCACCGATGGAGTTGCATCTGCTTTTAGGAGTTATCAACCATCTTTTCATGATCCTTAAAACTGCTTGGATAGAAGTTGTTAAGTGGCCAGCTACCCTCCATATTTAACTGAGCCCGTATCACGGGGCCAGTTTGAGGGAAATAAATGCAGGAAGCTTCTTAAAAATGTGGATATGCTGCAGCAACTTGCTGAGACAAACACGGTTCCCAATATTATGTGCATAATTGAAGCATTCAAAAGCTTCAATTTAGTTGTCAAGGCTTGCTTTAGATACATCCTTTAGCCGGATTTTACTGAAAAAATTGAAAATTTAAAAAAGTGTTTCCAATGATAACTGGTGCAAGCGTAACACCTAAAATTCACGCCGTCTTCTACCACATCAAGAATTTCATGAGTCACAAAGAATAGGGCCCTATAGTGAACAAACTGTCGAAACTTCTTATCAAGATTTTTATCAACATTAGTTGAGGTATAAGCGAAATAATAATCACCCAGAGTACAAAGAAAGATTGTTGCGATGCATATTCATATTTTACGGCGTATAATTACTATTTTCATCATCTTGTATCATAGAGTATTTGTATGAAAAGAGAACATTGAGCTATTTATTAATAATCTTTTGGTGGAGAAAATCAAAAAAACACTTCTTAAAATGTAATTAGATATTTGATGGTAATACAATGTAAAAAATAGGGTTTAAATAGTTTTCACTTCATTTTAAAAGTAAATGTATTTAAGAAGGTCAAGACAAAATATTTTAGGAGATCTACTTTTTTTTGTTTTTTTTACTGGTATGTCTTTGACCAGGTTTTGAACTTTTTTTTAGCTTTTTTTTGGTAGCAATTTATACCTTAGGAAATGTTGGTATATTCAAGCGGAGCATACATGGTCGTCAACGCCTCCCCAGCGTTGACAACCATGTATGCTTCGCTTGTCCTTCTCTACTTCTCATGTCCTTCTCTACTTCGCATGTCCTTCTCTACTTCGTATGTCCTTCTGCGAGGACCTTTTGTTTTAAAAATATAGGCAATTATTTTAGAAATTATGGATTTTATTTTAGAAATTGAGGGGTTGACCCCCTTCACTTTGAAGGCTGTGTCGATACTATTAGCATAAGACTTTTTAAATCACGCTTTAAATAGAAAATTACTATTTTGGTCTATAAAATGAAAACTGTACATGTACCGATAAAATAATAATGACAAAAATTGTTGGTATTACACAGTAGAACACTCATGTAACCGTTATTTTAAAAAAGTGACCGAATTTCAAAGTAATCGGTAACGCTTTGAGGTATAAGTTGCAAAAAACTGACAAAACTTCAACTAAAACTGCAATAGATCCTACACCAGTCATCCAATCAGGCTAAAATTTTGTCCAGAGTTTGGTGTGACTATTGGTTACATTTGCACCAATTGTTATCAAATTATATTGAGTGGTTCAAGTTCTACAAAAAATTTTGCAGATTTCTCATAGTCAGCCATTAAAATGTTTTTTATTTATTGAAAAAAAAAAAGGGGGTCATCAGTAATTTTGTGAAAGATTTTTGTTATTATTATTATTTTGTTGTTATCACTATATAGTTGCTTAACGAAAAATATTGTTATGCAAAATCAGGGCCGTCCCGAAGATGTCTTCCATGGGGGAGGGGGGTGTAAGTATTTTTTTGCCAACTAAAAACAAAAAACAAACACAAAAAAAAAGGTCCTCAATATTTGCAATTTGCCAACTATAAATATAGCCAACTATATTTATATTTAAATTTACCAACTTTAAATTTAATATAAATATAGTTGGCAAATTGCCAACTCAAAAAGTATTTCAGTAGGCACATTGAGCAAAACTTGCTCAATGCCAACTCAAATGCTTTTAAAAAAATGCAATTTGCCAACTACCAAACCAATTTGCCATATTTTTATAGTTTAAAACTTGCTCAATGTGCCTACTCAAATGCTTAAATGACAGCTTTAGGAAAGGGACACCCCTTCCTTTGGGACGGCCCTGTGCAACATATAGTTGCATAACGGTTACAAATGTAATCAAAAAACAAAACAAAAAAACAAAACAAAAACTTTTTTTTTTTAAGTTTTTTTGCATTTAGTTTAAACACCGTTTAAATCTACGGGGAAGAGTGCTCCAACAAAACTTTAATCAATGCTTTTTGGAGGAGTGAAACGACATGAAATAAATAATTTCAACTATTCATTAACTGAAGCTTTAGAGCAATGGCGAACCAGATGTTAATTTGGGGAGCTGCACTTGTAATTGCATTTGGGTTAACTATGAAAGATATGGCTTTTTATAAAGAAACATCAGATCATCAAAATAAAGAAGAAAAAAGTTCCATTCCTATTGGACCAAAGTTAACTTTTCTAGTTTGGTATGTTTTTTATATTTTATTTGTTGCATATGTAACTACTAACTTTTATTAAAAAAAAAAAAAAAAAAAAAATGAATTAAATTCTCCATAACGTAAATAGATGGACTTGCATTTCAGACACTCCCTTTTGTAAGCCCAAGTCGTACAAACGGATAATAATAAAAACCCTAACCAAACCTTGATCTTAACTCTTAGTATCAAGGATAGGTAACTTTATTTTAATGTGGATATATGGTTTTAATAAATTAACCTTTATGGTTAGGAGGGTATGGTTTTAATAAATTAATCTTTATGGTTAGGGTATGGTTAGAGAAAAAATACATTACCCTAAGGACTGTCACAAATAAAATCATAAATAGAATCCCATTAAAAAGTGCACTAATAGAGTGATTCTAATGAAAAAGTAACAGATAAAAGATTTATAGAGATCATAGAATCTGTAGAATATATTAGTTATACTTTGATTAAGTTTAAAAACTAACAACATCTTCACAAGGTTTTAGGAAGTTTTTTATAATGTTTTCTTTACAACATGGATCCATTAATTTAAGCTTCCTTTATTTTTAATAAGGTCATTGATTCTAAATGCCTTATTTAATTTTGTTTACTAGTACTGCCAAACATTACTGGTGAAACTTTACTAGTACTGCCATAGCAATCCATCGAATAGTAACTGTTAGTCCATAAAGAAGTTCCTCTTTGTTGAAGACAGTTTTCTATACTTTACTTTTTAACAATTTAGTAAAGTTACTGTTACAATGTGATTGTTCAGAGGTTCAGCAGTTGTTTTAAGAAGAAATTTATTCTTATTTCCATTGCAAATTTTCACTAGTATAAATAGCAGTTCTACAGTCCAATGAAATTGTTTTGATCAATTATTTTGACTTTACTTCTTTCCAACTATGTATTGAAAGTACTAAGTTTTCTATGGTTTCACTTATATATTATTTCTTATAACCACTATTGATAAAAAAAGTGCTGTGGGAACATTTTTTAATAGTAGTTTTTGAAAGTAAAGGATTCCGAAGTTGTTGTTTTTTTTTAACATTTCCACTTCCAAAAAGCCTGCAAGCACTATTAGAGTTGGAAGTTACTGGAAGAAAAACTTAGACTTAAAAGATTGCTAATTATATGAATCAGTAAAACAAGATCAAAGGAGCCAATTCCAAAGAACTAATGTTTGAGAGAAAAAACTAGACAAATAAAATTTTTTGGAGCACTTAGGAACAGTGACAGTAAAAGAATGAGACTTAATTGAATGACAAGTAACATGAAAATAAATTTTAGTAGATGACACAAGATACGCTAGCTCTTAAGAGCAGTGCAGATTATAGTATTTGTAGAAGAGAGAAAGTGAAGCAACATTACAAAGATGTGATAATAGTTGATGGTTGGTTACAAGAGCAGGACCAACTATGTTTACAATGCGTTTTTGCACCTTGTCTAAATGTGAAAGTGCATCATTAAAGGATCCCCTTCAGATATGGCAACAATATTGCATATGAAAATGGATTAGATATTTATAGAGATAACAAATAGAGTCTGGAGTAAGAAAGTGGCAAGCATGATATAGAGATACAACCTTAGCAGAGGCTAATTTTTTTATGGATTTGGTATATGGTTTCCAAGAGAGTTTGAAATTAAGTATTAATCTTAGAAGATGAAAAGTAGATAAGACATTACCGTACATAAATATAGGATAATCTAGATTGTTGCAATAACAATTAGCTGAGGGTTTTATCTGAGTTAAACTTCACCAGCCATTGTGAGCCCAATGCTGTAGCATTGGGCTCACAATGGCTGGTGAATTTTAGCTGGTGAGATCCTTTTCAAGCTCAAATGCCCTCTCTAAGCAATCAGAAAGCGTTGGTTTCCGTAACTAGAATAAATGGTAGTATCATCAGTGAACAATGCCACCTTAGATGTGTACTGTACAATTCACTTTCTATACCAATGATATATCTTTAAACCAAAACAAACTTCTAGAACTTTCAATAGCTATAATTATGTTATATCATTTTTATCACAGACCAGTTTAACAATTTTTCAGCCCCATCTCTCCTGAACTTTTTCTAGTCTCACTGCAAGTGAAGTCATAAATTCTAAAAGATTTTCTTTTAAACATTCAGACCAACTCTGGCTTAAACTCACTTTGAATCACAAAACTTTTCTTATTGGTTTTATTTGTTGCCCACCAACTAGTGTTCTAATTTTAAGTTGGTGAATTAGAATCACGTAGATATGTGTTGAAAGTCACGTGTTATTTCAATTGTAATTAAAAGTATTCTCATGAGACTTTTTTATTTATTTGTATATATAGAGACAATTTTCATGTAGAGTTAGTGAGGTTAGAAGAAAGCTATAAAATAATACGTTTTGTTTATTCAATTCATGGGCACGACGATCCAACAAGCTATTTCGACAATTATGCCACCAGTATTCGATGGCAACCATCAGCGGTTTGTCCGCCAACTATGAATATATATAACTGCGATGGACGTACTTGAATACAATAGGAAAACAATAATATTAACATGTTTACCACCACAGATTTATTCTGCACTGGAAGATTTATGCTTGCCTACATACCCAGAAGATGACTCAGTTACCTACGTAGACATCGAGGAAAATATCATGAAGCTTTTTAAACCGAAGTCATCATTAATACTACGCTTTAAATTTGCAACTATAAAAAGAGCAAATAACGAAAGTGTGACGGAATTTTCACGATGGATGCAAATTCACAGATAGAGATGATCGAATGCGCGACCAATTCATCACGGGTTTTAACGACGGTGTTACAATCAAACGGTTTTACTGGAATCTGAAGGGCTAACGTTTGCAAAGGCTGTGGAAATTGAAAATAAATGGAAAGCTCCAAACAGCATTTATTGATTCTGGATGCTCCATCACTGCGATTCATGCTAAATCCACGCATGGTTTTGTTTTAAAAAGTCAAAAACTTATCACAACTTTGGGAGGAGCTGTGCAAGTGCTGGGTGAAAGGGTAATCAAATTGGAAATTGATGGAATACACCGGATTGTTAATTCTCTGGTTGTAAAAGATAAAACCGATAACGCTAAAGGAAGATATCACAATGATATCACTCAAGTTCAAAATGACTCTCAAGAACATAACGTGCTGCAAGTAATACACTCCGGACGAACAGTAAGGCCTCCACAAAGATTGGACTTATGAGTTAATTCACCAAGAGGGCGTGTTCTAATTTTGAGTTAATGAATTATACATGTTAGAAATCACGTAGATACGTGTTGAAAGTCACGCGTTATTTCAATTGTAATTAAAAGTATTCTCATGAGATTTTTTTTTATTTGTATATATAGAGACAACAACTAGTGGAATAAAAGTATTTAATGAAATCGTAATCACTATTTTATATGCCAAATCGTTAATTAAAAAAAGAAACATGCAGACCTTATCATTACTGGTGATTTCAAGTTCCCAAACATCAAATGGAAAAAAAGGTGGATATACACCTCAACACTGAAACAGGTTTAGATACAAAGTTTTTAAACATCATCAACAGCCTATACTTACATCAACATGTCTCTAAACCAACCTTTATTCAATACAATGTATCTTCAAAAAATACACTTGACCTAATAATCAGTGATTCGGCTAACCGCACAAGTGAGATAGTTGTTGGTCCTCCATTAGGAAATAGTTTACAAGGTCACCATACTCTATCCTGGTGCCATCAGTTAACAAATTACTACACCAACTATAATTGTTTTACTAGTTCAAAATTTATTTATAATAAAGGAAATTATATTCAATTTAACAATTAGTAAGCCAATCAGAGGTGGGAAATTTTATTTGAAAACTCAGACATCAATCAAAGCTACAAAATTTTCTGCAATAACTACAACAAAGGGTGCAACAAATTTATACCAATTCATTCCTTTTAAACATAAGAAACAACTTTTAGTTAACCAAAGAACTTTTATAGCTAAATAAACGTAAGAAAGAACTATGGTTTCTCAATCAAAATGGCAAGTGGAAAATTATCTCCCTGGTTAATGAATACAAGTGTACTCCAATTCTTGTAAAAAAATGACTATAGCTGCAATTTGCTTGAGAACAACCTATCTAAAGACAAGAATAATTCAAAAAGATTTTATGCCTACATTAATAGCAAACAAACTGTCAATATCAATATATTGCATTCACCTTCCGGTGAACTTTGTACCAATAATATTTTGATTGCCAACACGCTGAACAAGGTATTCCAATCTGTCTTCATTATTGAGTCTCGCAACCAAAATTTGCTCAACATACTTCTGCTTCTTCTTTTAATATTTTGTTTGATTATAAATCTGTACAAAAACACCTTGAGGTACTTGACTGTTATAAATCTAGTGGAAAGATAAAATAACCCCATACGTTTATGAAGCGTGCACCAATACAATAGCAGCTCCGTTTGCCCTGATTTTCCAAATGTCAATGGAAACAATTGTACCAAAAGCATGGCTTGTTGCTAATGTAACCCCATTGTTCAAGAATGGTTCCAGGACTGACCCAAAATACTACAAACCAATTTCAATTACTTCTGTAAAATAATTGAAAAAATGGTTAAAGATAAAGTTGTGCATCACCTAATAACTAACAATCTTCTCTCACAATGTCAAAAAAGTTACCTGATTTTGCAAAAGGATATGACAAATTCCTCCCAAAAGATTATTAATAAAACTTGTCCTCATTTAAAGAAAGATATTACCAAAATTGAAAAAAGACAACTCTGTTGTTGAAAAAATACAACCTCATTAGTTAAAGCACCTTGAATACAAGATGTGCTAAACTTGGACTAAAAGAAAACATGGTAACCTTCTATCTATTCCTGCCATCTATGGTCATTGCAAACACTTTCGTCGGGAATACATTAGCAATTGCCTAGTTCAATTTAACTTTTTTAATAATTATGGTGGGGATACTTGGAATGCTTTGCCAGATGATGTTGTCAATGCCTCTACTATTGACATTTTCAAAAAAAACTAGACCAGCATAGTAACTATCCACTGTGGTAACTATCATAGTTACCACATTGTATCATTTCTCTGTGGCTGTATTACTGCAGTTGTACAAGCTAGCTTGCTAGCTAATGATGAACTTATGATTCATTCTGTTTCATGTAAATTTAATTGTGTGTATATATGTGTATAGCGCAATTGTAATAATAAAAAAAAAGATGTGAGAGTTTTTGGGAGATGTAAATTTAAAAAAATATGGGGTTAAGGATAGAACTTTGAGAAACCCCCTAAAGTTACATGAATTAAAGATTCTGTGATGAAATGATGAAGATTCTGAACTGATGAAGTTCATCAAAGACAACTTTTATATTATGTTGGTAAGGAAGGATCAGGGATTATCTTTTTCCGGATTATTCCGGAAATCCGGATATTTTTTTCAACTTTTAGTTTTTCCGGATATTCAAAACATTTTCAATACGTGCAAGTTGAGGTATATATTTTTGTAATATACTTGGTTTTTAGGCTTTTTCATTCATCACTCATAAAAAAAAATATAAAAAGTGTCAAAAAAAAACTAAAAACAACTTAGCTAAAAGGAAATTAAAAAGAAAATAAGGGAAAATACATTCCGGATATTTTATTCAAACAATATTCCGGATTTTTAAAATATGACTAGGATGATCTATGGGAAGGATTCAATATTCTTAAAGATGTGATCTAAAGTACCGTAAGAAGAAAACTTATAGAAAAGGCCAGCATGCCAAACTTTATCGAAGGCTTTAGAAATGTTGAGAGTGGCAACCCTAACCTTTTCACATATCTAATGCATATCGCATATCTAATGCGTGATAAAGCCTATTGGTTGTTAATGTTAACAAATCAGCAGTAGAACAAGAAGATCGAAAAACCATAATGATGATCAAAAAGAAAGTTATTAGATTCAATATGAGAGATTAAGTGTTTGTTAGTTTAAGTCAGACTCAAAAACCATGTTTATGATAAAATACCGCTTTCCAACAGGCTGGAAAACACAACTCTAATAAGCACTTGCTAAATAGCTTTAAAAGTATAGACGACAGCTCAAGAGAACACTTCTGCAAGACTTTAACATTATTGCTGACCATGCAAATGATTTTATTTTTTGACAACTTGACCACAACTGTTTAGATATTTAAATAATTTTTTAACATTTTTGTGTTGAAAAAAAAGTGCTAGCTAAACTTAAACTAAGAAAAAAAGTAAAAAAATAAATAAATAAAAAAGAAAACAATTTCTAATGGAAAAGAAAATATATAAGTACTTATTAAAACTCAAAAAATTTAAGCTCAAAGCAAAAATTACGTTTTGTTACGTTTTTAATTGTGTTAAAAATAAATTGCTTAAAAATTTATCTTTTGAAAGGTTTTATTAAAGTTACGCAAAACGCTTTTACAAATTACTTCTAATGATTGTTAAATGAATGAACAAATTTTATAAAATTTAATTACTAAAAAGTGTTGTATACATTATTTTTAAATTGTATAAACATTTATTTTTTCCTGTTGCAAATAAATAATTGTTTAAAAAAATGCTGTTGTCTTTTTAATATGTAATTTTAATCATTTTTTGTTCTGATTAGTCAAGTTAATAAAAATAGTTTTAAACAATTTTTTGTAAAAATAGAAAGAAAAAAAATATATATAACAATTAAATCATTCTATTGCAACAGCAGATTTAACTTATTCATAATTCAAAGTAACTTAAAAAATTATCTTTCAAAAAAAAGACAAAATAGTTTTATACAAATTATTATAATCATGGCCAGCGACACGGGTTTTAAAGTGGAGGGGCACAATCATCTATTTCTAAAAATAGTCTAGAATTTTCTCTTAAAACAAAAAAAAAAGAAAGGTGCCCTCCCTCGAAAAAAAATTTAAGTATAATATTATATCTTAGTTTACACAGAGTATGTTTATTTTGAACAACCACTATAATTACTTTTTTATTTTATTTAAAGCCTTGGTGTAAAATAAAAAATTTAGAATAGATCAACGATCAAAATTTATTTATAATATAACAATTTTTTAAATAGCATTTAAATTGTTAAAACATCAAAACCGCTGTGGTCAAATTGTAAAAAAAAATATTATAAGTGTGATCAGTTACAGCATGCGATCCCACACTATTCCTGTTTAAGCCAAATAACAGGTTTCCAAACCACAAACTGTAAAAGAAGCAGGAACTTACTTTAGATATAAAGGTTAGAGTGATACGAATGTCAAGCTGTAGATCAACCTGTTTATCAACTATATCAGGTAAGATGCGATAGGTAAAATCAAGATGAGATTGATGAAAAGTTCTTAGTAAGCAATTCAGCCTTATTAGTTGAGGTAACAAAATTTGAACCATACAAGAGAAGAGGAATAACAGATTTACCCATATTATAGACACTGTTAAAGATTTTCCAGAAGTCTCTGGATTCTCATTTTTGAGATGAATTAGAAGCACATCTGTCAGCAGGAAGAGGAAAGATTTCTACCCAAGGGCTATCATGAAGAAAGTCAAAGAAAGAGTCCCAGTCACCTTTAAGGTAATTGTAAGAGGTACGATGATAGGGAGATACTGATAAAGAAGAATGAGATAATAGATGATGAAGAAGAATGAGATAATAGTTTTAGAGAGATCAAACCGTGAAACACCTAATGGTGAATGTGGAGAAACTGAGCACTGGCTATATCAGAAACAAGACATAAGTTGAGTCGAGAAGTTAAATGATCCAGATTTTCTGGAAAGCGAGTAGGAAAGTTGACTATTTGTCTTAAAAATTGAGAAAGGCAAAAGTTGTGGGCCTTAACACCTACAGTCACTGAAACTATAACCAAGCCAGTGTAATAAGCATTAAAGACACCAACAACAATAATATTGGTTGAAAGAAAAAGAGAAAGGGCTTGGTCAATCTGATCAGAAATAACATTGAAAAGAGTGCAGTCTTGAGATAAAGGAGAGTGATAAGGTGATAGAATGAAGTGGTGCTTAGCAACACCTCATAAAAGATTATTCTGATGATTCAAACCTAGCCGACAAATGGGTGAATCTTTGCGAATGTAAATGGTCAGACCAAGCATGTGACTATTGGAGTTGTAACGAATTAGAAGAAGATAACTATCAACACTAAGATCACTGTCACAGATCATCGAGTTTTGCAATTAAGCTTTTTAAAATTCTCCACCATAATGAAATAAACTTGCTCATTTTTAGAATCATTTTAAATGTTTAGTAATCAAGAGTATAGTTTAGTAAAAAATATAGGGTATTAACTGATAATAAAAACTGATAAACTTTTTATCAATTTGTTTTTATTTTTCAAAAAGATAATAAAAATTGTTTGCTAAATTTTTATAACTGTTTTCTTTCATCTGTTGCTATCATTATTTTGATAATTAGCAATGGATTACAATTTTTTAGAATTATAGTGTACCATGTGTGTAAAAATAATTTTCTTCTATTTAAATAATTGGTTTGATTATTTTTGTGTTTTTTTATAAGATTTTTTTTTTTTAAATAAATAAAAATTGTAATTATTTAAATCAAGTGAAAACATTAAAAAAATTAAAATAAACTTAATTTTTTTTTTTAAATTAATAAAAAAAAATTTATTAATTTTTATTAGTTTTCATATTTATTTAAAAATTTTTAAATTTTTCAGTATCGGATGAGGTTACAGACGGGTATTTGAGGAATACGCTAATGTTGTTCAACAGCGATATCCTCACTTATCCATTTCCGGAAATAATTATCCAGCTCCTATAGTTAATAACTATATAGCAAAAGCAAGTAATATTCTAAAGTGGAGTGCTCTAGCTGTCATAACGTTGGGTGAAAGAGTTAGTTTTTGGCAAAATCTCAATATACCAAATCCACCTGAAATATATCAATGGACTCAAAATCACAAAGTATGTTGTTAGCATAACACAGTGAGTCAAATTGGCATTATCTACCCTAAAATTGACATTTTCTTTAAAACTTTGTTACATTATAAAGGCTAATTTTCAAAAGTTTTAGATTTTTAAAAAAATCTGATTTCTGAAATTTCTAAACATGTTTAAAGTACTTTTTAATTTTTTGATTTTTCGTTTTGATTTTTTTTTTTAAAGGAGGAAGGGGGAGGGGAGAGAAAAAGGTAGATATAAACACATTGACCCACTGCATAAATAGTTTATGTAACTTTTTTAAAAAAATTCTAAAAGTTTGATATGTGTTTGACACCATTAATTTGGGAGTTAATTTTTAAAACTTTTACTATATATGTTCTCTTTTATATATAATAAGGCTCATCATTTTTATTTAGTATTTTCAAGTTAAAAATAATTAAATTAATAATAGTTATATATTACTTAAACTGTATGTAATAATTAAACTTGTAATAATATAAGAATAAATCATGTGTGATTATTAGATGTCTTTTAAAATTTATTCTGTTTATTAGATAATGTCTTGTGTTGGTGTTTTTTTTATTGGCAACACTATTGAAAATGGATTGCTGCAAACTGGAGCTTTCGAAATCTATTTTAACGGTCAGTTATTATATATCTTTTTACTTATTATTTTAAATTAATTTTTTTTTTTTAATCTAAAAAATCTATATATAAATGTATAAAAAGCGTATAATGTATTTATTATTATCTCAATTTTTCTTTGTTGCTAAACTTCAGATGTTTTAATATGGTCCAAGTTAAAAACACAAAAATTGCCTAGTGTTGAAGAGTTGCTACTAAGAATTAAGAACAACATGGATGATAAAAAAATGAGTTCTCAAGAAGATAAATTTGCATCACCAATACTCAACGATCGAGAACATAAAAAATCAGGCGAGTTTGATGAGTTTGATAAAAATGATTTTGGTTCAGAAAACACAGTCGATCTTAATAATCAATATGAATTTTAGTTTTTAAAACTTTTGTAATTCAGACAATAAAGTTTCGCGCGGCAGAATTAGGACCAAAATTAGTTTTTAAAAAAATTTTTAAAAATTTATAGTAACTATTTATTGAATTTTTATTATGCATGTATATATATATTTGATTTTATATTAACGTGTATCCCTGCAATTTTAGTTTTATGAAGAGATGTATTAAAAATACTACAATGTATTAATACATCACTGAT